GTTTAATTATTCGACTCTCATTTGATCCATCGAATCCATATATAGTTTTTACGGTTTTTAGATTTCGATACATGCGCGCAGGAGTATTATATTTGCCCACATACAGTAATCAATATTCATAGGCATTGAGGAAGCATATAAACATTGCAGCTCATGTGACAGGGTTTAATTTGTGTAATATTACCCCTAATTTTCAATACAAGATTTAGTTAACTAATTTAAAAAATAAAAAAAATACTCAATCATAGTGTATGTTTTATTATAATCCTTCTAAAATATCCATGATTATGTATCGATTTACAACTTAGATAAATTAGTTTGAAAAAAAACAGTAAATATAATATTTAAAATAATTTTTTTAATTTTTTTGGCCTTTCAAATCAATCAATTAATGACAGGAGGCCGTATGCAAGACTGCAAAGAGGGGAGTTAGGTTTAATAGGTTAGGATGATGTGGTCATTTAAATAACGAAAATGACATCAGCCAGGGAAAAAAAAAAAAAACCAACAACGATGACTAGTTAAGATGAAGCGTGGGGCGAGCAAGTACGAGACAAATAAGGATGTAGCTCGTCAGCACAGTGACACGTTGTCCCGAAAGATAATGTGAAAACAATGATTATTTGGAATAAGTAAAAGCAATGAACGCGTGTGCGTGTGATATTAAAAAAGAAATTTGACCCGCGGAAATGAAAAATTTAACAAAAGATCAATAGGTGAAGTGCGGAGAAGAGACCGGTGGGAAGAAAAGAGAAGAAAAAAGGCGACCTCATTAGGAAGGAAAAAAAGGGTTACTTAAGTAATTGGGAAGCGGAGGATGGCTTGACGCTGACGTCGCAATTAATCACTATGTTATGATGTCTGGATCATGGTAGTCCCCTCATATATATATATATATATGACATTTAGGCCTCCTTTGATAAAAAGCATTAAAAACGACAGGTAACGATTAATGTTAGAATTGAGAAAAATTATTAAAGAATATTTATTATAAGTAATTTTTTTATTACATGAGATCAGACAATACCATCTGCCTTCCTGGTACTACTTCCCATCTTTCATATAAAACCTGATTTTATTTTTATTTTGATCTTAAATATAATGCTTTAATTTACATTGTTTCTTATATTTATCTATTTTTTCCTAATGTAGTTTTTCGAATAATAGTAATTCTAATCAATATATTTGATTAGTAAAGATATTTTAAAAAATATAATACCTATTTATTACAAATAACTCACTTAACTTATTTCTTAATCTACTCAAATTAGTGAATTAGCTCTTATATTCAGGATCGGAGGTAGTATTCTCTAGTCCTGTATATGTGGGTTTATCTAATTCTAAATAATACGCAATTATCTGTAATGAATATTTTTTTAAATTCATTTGCAATCTTTACTTCTATTTTCAATGCTTTATATCAATTCGAACTAGGATTTTGGACTGGAACAGAGTTAGATCATAATCATACAGAGTTTGTGGTCACAACCCCAACTTGCCGCCTGTTCATACCAACCATGAGCGTGTTTGAAGTGCAGAAGAAAAGTGGCCCGCAAAAAGCTCTTTACCAGACTTTAGAATATTTACACACACACACATTTTTTTTGCCCCTCAGCTTTGATGCTATATGAGTTGGAGCCTTTCCAGAGGCCTCCCTCCCTTGTTTTCCAAAACGAGCAGAAGCACCCGTTGGAGTTAAACAGTCAAACGGGCCCCACATCGATGAAGTATCTTGTAACCATGGCCGCATGTTCTAGTTCTCCTCCTTCTTCCCCGCCCCCTCCTCAGAGGTTCCGGTGTCGTCCCCGGCCGTGAATTCGGAGGGTGCATATATGAACTAATGGTATGCCCAACAAATTAACATAAAACCTTCTTTTTTTCTTTTTGGCTTTTTGGCCTTTTGGCCTGAACTTAAAACAAAAAGGATCACAAGTGGAGCTTTAAAAACTATTAGGACATTATTATGGGCCTTATCACTAGAGCTGCAAGTCAAGCATAATTCAGTTAACAATTATAAGAATACATTTGTTGGATGTATATAATACTTATAATAATAAGTCGAGTTGTTCATAAACTATTGGATACTTTATTTTAAATTTTATATATGTGATATATCAAAATAGCTAATTTAACAGTTAAAAAGAAAGCCCAGAGATAGGACGCCACAACAACTTCTAGGGACGATATATGGTCAACGGAAGCCATGATTCCCTCACTCCTACCTATCAATTTTTTTTTTTTGACCAGCACTCCTACCTATCAATTGAACCAGTGAACGGCTTATTGATTCAACCACGATTGAATTGTGCTTGAGGTAGTGGGACATTCATTTTTTGGGACGAGAAAGCAGTGGTAAATTTACACTGCACTGTATATATTAGATATTCTAGGTGTCGAATATGATTTTAATAATGATCCGAAAAAATAATACAGTTCTTACTATATGGTCCTAATATGTAGTTATATCGAAAATTTTGTGATATCGACTTATGGCGAGTGATTGACACTTTTGTCACTGAACAAGTTATTGAGAGTTTGAATCACAACCTCTTTATATACTCCTATTGTTTTTAATAAAAAAATTTATTTAACTAATTTGATTAAATTAAGGAAATTAGGTAAGTCAGTTAATTATAAGAAACATGACATGTTTTTTTTTTTAAAACACTATAATCATCTTCTTTAGTATCCTTATTCCCTCTTCTACTTGATTATGATTAAGGGAATATCCATAGTGATAATTTAGGAAAAATTGATAAATATGAAAAATAGGTATTATATTTAGGATTAACATCATCTTAATAATTAGGTCCTATATTAAGGACTGTAGGAGTATATATATATATATATATATATATATATGTGGTGATATGTGCGTGTAAGTCTTCGGTGACATAATTCATTTTCAATTTTCATAATTATTTATGATAATTAATTATCATTAAAGAGATAATATATAGGATAATGATTTCAGATAAAGTGCTGCTTTATTGGCAATAATTTTGTGCTATGAGGTAATTTGTTAGTGCCCCGCGCAAACATGGGAAAAAAGCAAAATAAAGATAATGTAAATGGTATTGGTAACGTATGATGATTTTGGATTAAGTAGCGATAGATAAGGTCTTATTTGGCGTCATAATTGAAATCATTTATAAGCTTATTTCATGTAAGCTGAGACACAATTTTTTTTAATATACTTATGTTGTATTCTGTAAATTATGATTAAAAAGCTATTTATAAGTCATTCTATACAGCTCATAAAACAGCTTATACACACTAGTATAAGGGTCTTATATTTAGAACCGGAAGAGTATATTGATATTACGTGGAACCTCCAACAGTCGCTTTTGCTTTTCTTTCCCATCCAAGCAAATTAATTGCCTCCATTTCTTATGATTGACATAATAATCAGAATGAAATATCATTTGGAAGAGAGACAAAAGTAAACGAGCTTGGAAATCAATCTTCAATGATTTTTTTAACACTAGTTTTATTTAAATCCACAATTTTAAAAGGTTCTTATCGTATTAGTACTACCGTTTCTGTTTGTTCCTTCATATTTGTCTGAGCATTTTTTTTCTTTTTTTTTTTTTCTGGCCTGATGTCTCAGGCATATTAACCAAAGAAAATCTGGCCGGCCGAAAACAACCATGAGAAAAAAAATAAAGAGAGAAACAAAAAGAGGGGAGTAAAAAAATAGGGGAAAAATAAATTTTCCTGTATTTAGATGGAAAGAGAATAGAAAAGAGAGAAAGAGACGCGAGACTCATGTGCTTTCTTTTTTGTCCCCACGAAGTTCTCTCTTTAAATATAAAGAGATTTTAGGGAAAAAAACAGGCGTTTTATTTTTAAAAAAGAATTGCGTGAAAAGAAATATGGAACCCACACATGTGGCGTATATGCATATATAATTGCCATTTTGAAATGGGTGGCTTTTCTGTGGACAATATTTTGTGGAGTTATCCTTTATTTTTGTTGGTGGCTCATTATTTTGGATAGGGGAAGGGGAAGCAGTAATTGAAGATGGAACTGGGGGTATTGCTAATGAGTGGAAGGAAAGGAGAAGATGTGATGGAGATTAGATATTAGCAAATGATGAGGCCAGCGAGGTGGAGACGATGATGCAGAAGGCAGGGGAGGAGCCTTTCTACTGTGAAAAGTGAAAACATCATTCCTGTGTTATTGCCTCTCCTCTCGCATTGGGTCCACTCAGATCCAAGGCCCCCCCTTTCCCTTTCCCCTTTCCTTTCCTACAAACCTCCATGTGACTCCCTTATTATTACACTTTCTCCTCAGCAATCCACCTCACCCCCACCTATAGCCTTCTTGCCTCAAACCTCCCTCACAATTCATTCAGACATCACAACTTCCATTTTACTTGTTATTTTGAAATAAAAATTCATTCATCCCTTGGTGACATTAAGCTTAATGCTACTAATTCCCTAAACATAGTTCACGTGAAATGGCTCATCTACCAAGTAAGATGGTACCTCATTATATTCTTTGCATTTCTTGTGTTTTGTTGAGAGGTCACTGTCGTGTGTTTTTCACTAAACCTTGTTTCTGACTCACTTCATTTCGTTTGGGGATTTGTTTGTCGGCATTCTCAACAGGGTCCAACACTACTGACCGAGCACGTGCGCAGCACATGCATGCCATCATTCATTCTGATTTCCCTCCTCTATTATTAAAGAAATCAAAGGCCGCCAAACCCAACGCACCCACTATCAGCATTTTTGGTTTTAGGTCCCAAATCATAGACAAGCTGCGAGACCCGTCCCAAACCAAAAAAAACGCAACGATGGCAATTGTTCTGTAGAAAAATGAATTGCAAGAAAAAGGTGGTGGCCCTTACTCCCCGGTCCCAGCTCGCAAGGACCGGAAAGTGACCTTTCATGGGATTGTGCGTTGATGCCTTTATGATTGGCACTACGCTCCTCCCCTGCCTTGTCCAAATAAAATAAAGTTCAAGTTTACATGTATTTAGTAAATTCAGGCTGTAATGGCCTATGCTACGCAAGCTCTGCATTCATTTTTCCGTTAAAAATGGTTCTGTAGACGGATGACTTAAATATTGCTCTTTATTCATTAAGGCTATATCACAACAGGCTTAAAATTCAAGGCCCATTCTTGTCCACATTTCTCAATCTCTATTCACCGAATATTCCAAGCACGTCCCCTTCAAATCAAAATCTTCTAACTAAAAATCCCGTCCCTGGAGACGAATGCCGCGTTAGAAATGGGTGCTGAATGAACCAGACTTTCTCTTCCTGCCAATCTGAATCTGAAAAGAATTCTTCTAAAACAGGAACTGAATTTGTTCTATATCCTTTTAGGAGATGAATCTGACCTCACTTGTCCAAATACTCCACATTACAGATTAGATCACTCCTCCTCAGTAAACAGATACTCTTCTTTCATATCACCAATATCCGCATTTTTATCATCCATCTCACTACCTTCAAAACTCTCACGAGCTTGCTTTCCACGATAGGGAACGTACCCAGCCTTTGCCTCAGCGTCTTGGCATATGCAAGTTGAAGGATTTTCATGAAACTCACCCGTGCCAGGATTTAACTCATTTGGCTCTCCCATGAATCCGACCTGGTAAGTTCGAACCCGGGATGCGAATTCCTCCCAAGTCATGATGTTCTTGTTCATAAACAACCGGTACAACTTCTTAGCATTTGGCCGAATGGTAGGTTTGTGGCCCAAGTATCTCCTGCAACAGACAGAGCATGGCCGCATCATGTATCAACAACCAGATTCTGTGCATGTAATTGTCAGCATAAAGAAATCTCGAAATAGAAACCAACTATAAGAAATAACGGCCTTTAATTTGATTCAATAAAAATCTGATACTTGTGATTTCAAATCCAGATCCCCCCCCTCCCCCAATATCCGCATTAAACTGTCAGTTCTGTCATTCGAATTATCTTTTTTCTGCAAAACATAAGTGGTACTTTTAGGCCTACATAAGATGAGCAGGAACAATGAAAAAGAAAATGGCCAGCAGCACCAAAGAAGGCACTTGAGAAGTTAAGTTTTTGCCTTTGGTAGATCACCGATATCTGATAGTTCCAAGTCATCATGTAAATTGATTTCCAGAACTTGGAGACATCAGGAGAGACACGCGGCTTACCTCCTTCCAGCCAGCATTTTAGCCATGTTACCGTTGTTATTGGTGACAAAAACGTCGCTTTCATCACAAACTATGAAATCAATTGCTGCCATGCGAGAAGAAAACGGCGCAAATGGTGCCAACTCTTGCTTGCCAAGTAAGGTCTCCTTGGAATGGAAGTTCGGGAAAAGAGCCTTGAGCGGCGCTAATGTTTCCTCACCTCCATATACATCTCCAGATGCCACGTACAAGTGCACATCGCTTCCAAAGCCTAATGCTCTCAGCATAAGACCCACTTCCTCAGGGGTAAGCGGGCATCTTCCGTGCCTTCGTACTTTGTCAGGGTTACTTGCCTGTGACTTGAACAATAAAATGACAACAAAGTTCATACAAGTCAACAAGACGTGGAGCTGTGATTCCTAAGAAGAAAGTATAACCTCACATGTAAACTTTTCCATCGCTTCCGAATTTCTCCAAGTTCTCTTCTCTCCCTCTCCCCTCCGCCATAATAGCATCCGGAGAATGCAAGCATGTCGGGTTCATACCTAGCAGATAATCGGTCACCAGTCTAAATCAACCCTTTGATAAATAATAGCAAAACAATAATGTAACATAGATCTGTGCATTTCAGTCACACAAGGGCAAGCAATCTCTCATCCCACAAGCCAAGCATAACCTGATGTTTGCTTGCCTCATAAATAATTATTGCGTTCTCTTTTGAGAGACAGATAGTAATACAAGCAGAGGTAATTTTTAATCAGAACTATTATGCCTTACCTCAAATGCAGAGCAACAAAATGCTTGCTTTTCATTCTCATACGCTCAACTAATAATCTACCCATTCCTCGTATAGATTCGGTAAATTTAAGAGCATGGTAGTTCACACGGCACCTCAGCCTTTGAAGATCTGCATCCAACCTATTAGAAAGTCTGTAGTCAAACTTCGTGAGCTGAACAACCTGGATCAACGATAAGCGTCATTCAAGGGCTAACTTTTTTTTCCCAAGGGAAAATATACCATTGATAAAAGAGATACAAACACTAAACCGTCAACAGGAACCAAAACGAATAAAACAAGGGAACCAAACCTAAAACAGAGAAAAACAAAACGAGACAGAGCCTATGCCCTGTAGATTGAAAAAAGCAATGACTAATTTCTGTTTACCATGATCAAAGAAAGTGACTATAGAGGGTATGTAGCAGCCTAATTCCTAAAGGACCAACTTGAAAGAGCCCACTCTCCTTGGCGTCCATCAGTTAACAACTAAAAGTTAATAAAAACTTCCGGCACAGAACAGAGCATAGAAGACATAAATCAGCCATTACTATAAGCAAAATTAATCCATAGCCCAAAGTTATTGCCGAGACAACATGACACGCACAGAAGAAACAAAGAAAACAAACTACAAAGACAAACACCAGGCAGGACTAAACATGACACCAAAATCGCTGCCAGAGAGCCCCCCAAACCTGGGCAACTTCAAGAAATCAAACTCTTGGTTTCTGGGTAAAGCAGCTGCCAAAGGACCTCCCCAATCAGGGTTTCCGTTGTTCAAAAATGAGGATCCTCATTCAAGGGATAATCGAAACTATCATTGCATGAATATTTTCCCAAACTCAATATTAGCCCATACATTTAACAATTTCAACTTGCAGTCGGACAGAATTTAGCAATGAACTCATTCATCAACTGCTTCCAATTATGAAAAGCAAACAAATTATGTTCTATAAAATCAAGCATATTAACACTTACGTGCCTCTTGACAAGATGAGGTAAAACACGATCTTCATAGCACTCAGGAGTGCATTTCCTTGGAACACGGATTGAATACGGAATCACAGATTTCCCTCCCTCATTTGAAAGCTGTTTAATAATTCTAACATCATTCCAAAGGAAAGATATGAACCAGTCCACATCAAATATTTCTGCGAAGTTGCTGCAGGACATAGCGTATCACGCATAAATTAAGACAAAGCTAGATAACGACTTTGTCTTGCAATTGAAACGGAAGATATTATTAGCATATGACAAGACAGACCTTGTGTCTTTCCAGAAGGATTGCTGATCGAGTGTGGGAACAACAAGCGTAGCATTCAAAAGATATGCTGCTACAACTGCATCTATAATCTGCGGCCAAAGCAACAGCTTTCAGCATCAAAAAACACTTTCTGTTTTAATATAATACGACTGAACGCGCGCAATCACACAAGCATATCAACTGTTACCCATCGCAATAGCTTTCAGCATCAAAAACGCACTTTACACATGCATCCAAAATTACTCATCACAACTGTTACCCATCAATGGGTTTTTGGCTAATAATAAAGAAAACTATGTAATAAGGACCAATGCCCGGGCGATAATATTAATTGTTTATACCAACATGTCTGCTGAAAATGTTCATTCATTTTGGTTTAAATTATGTTCTCCATAATAATCTAAGCCGCTGGTTTTAAATCTAAGTATAGAATCAGGGATAAGTATATACATATTTCGGGTGACGCCATTTACATAGAATCTCCACGCCTTTGATGCTTTCTACGAATGTCATTTCTTACTTGGGACGTTTGGAAAATACCCTTTATTGGCTGTTATATAAAAAAAATCCTTATTGACTTAAGAAAAAAATATTACTCTTCCTAACATTCAATCAGTCTGCAAATGAATGAATATGCCATAGACTTAAGGTCACAATCATGAATGCCAGCCTGCAGGTAGAACAAAACAATTTGGAGACGACTGGAACAGTCTGAAGATATAAATATCAAATCTTTAATTCAAGATTAAGTTTTTAATTTCTTTTTTTAAAGGAAACCTGGGTTTCCTAAATAAGTGGCAGTTATAGATAATAAATCAAAATCTAATATAAAAATAAATATTAACAAGATAAGCTGCATATTTAACTGGCGGAAAATTTATCGTTGCATATGGCCCCAAGGAAAAAACATAAATAAGAAGCTTAGTCTGCAATCAATACCATGAATGATCACAAAAAGGGACAACCAAAAAAGGAACAACAAAAAGCATGGCTGAAGAAGCTCACCCCTGTTCTTTGTTGATTCAATCCTCCACTGGTGGCAATCAACAAGTATCGACTTGGATTCGTTTTGATATTAGAATCTGAAAGAAAAATGTACACATGCAACTGATCTGAGAACTCAACAAGATTCTTTGATTACAAGTTAATCAAAGGAAAAAGGCCGATCAACCACCAGCCCCAAGTAAAGAAGTGAAATGTACGCAACTCGCGGCTTGAATTAATATGAAGTCCCCAAAGGGGGAAAAAAAGGATTTTACTATTGCGAGTGCAAAAGATTTTGTTCTTTTGGACTTTTAAGATGATTAGATAAACTTACTTAAAAATATGTCGCTGGCATTGCTGCAGCCATAGTAAAGGTGCGAACGAGTCGAACTCCATAAATCACGACCTAAACTACCTCCATTTGCCTTTAAAACCCGAAGAGGAAAATGAAAAACAAACACAAAGTCGGATTGCAAAAAAAAAAAAAAATCTTTTTATTCATAAGGCGGAAGTTTTCTTACTGGAACATGAAGCACCGAACCCCGATGGGACTTCAATGGAGACCCGACTTTGCCATTAAACTGGGAGTCAGCGCCACAGCACATAAAGCAAGATATCGTTTAAATGATCGCCATACAAAACGTTAAAGAAAATAGAGACAATTGAGTGAAACAATAAATAAACAGGAATAAGAGCGGCTCAGACGAGAGAAGCAGAGAATTCGGAACCCAGAGTGAATGGAGACGGTGGAAAATGAAGGAGAGGGAGTTACCGAAGAAAGGTGATGCATGGGGGAGGGCGCGAGCAGGGAGAAGATGGCAAAGAGAAGCAGGAAGCAGCCGGAAACGGCGGAAACGAGAAGACGGTGGAGGTAGCGGCGACGCAGGAAGTTGGCTATAAGGAGGCCGATGATGGTTAGTTGGTCAGCGTGTTGTTTCCTTCTCTTCATGGAGTACAACGTCATGGCGGTTGGAGAGAGGGGGGAAAAGAAACGATGATTCTGAAATGTTATTTAGAATTAGAAGAGAGTTGGGTTGCTAAGTGAAGATGAAGGATCAACTTCTCCCACCTCAACTCTGACAACGATTCTTCCCTTGTTCATTCTGTTGTGACGGCCCCACCCCACCCGACCCCCGTTAGGACTTAGGAAGTTAGTAAATTAGCCTTTTTTGATTATTACGTTAAAAATTAATTATGCCATGATCTCTCTTTTGTTGTGAATATATGTACACATATAGACATGCTGTGATTGGGGAAGGAGGGTTTAATGTTTTTGGTTGGCGCAAATGGCAAAATGAGAAAAAAGCGGGAAGGAAGGGGATGATGTTGATGAGGTGATGGGGTCGTAACCAGAAAAAAGAGATTGGAATAGTAAATGGCAAGACTGTGTATGTGAATAACTTTGCTGGTGGCGTGCCTGGGAATGAGCATAACCCGTTGCCCTCTTTATTCTTCACTTGCGTTTCGCGTGTTACGTCGCCTCCCTTCTGATGTCTTTATTTCCGATTAAGATATCTGGCTGATATGAATCACGTTTCTGTGTTTTATAACCTTATTTTATTTTTATTCTTTGAAAACTTCATTATCCATCCATTTTTCTATATATCTATGCATAAGTACATTCTATAAAGTGAACATAACTCATAATTAAATACTCCTCCGGTCCTTATTATAAGACCCAATTTGACTTTTTATTTGGTTCTAATTATAAGACCCAATCCATTTTGTCTCTTATATTTATGTATTTTTTTCCAAGATAATCCTTCTAATAATGATAGTTTTAGCCAATATACTTAATTAACAAGGATATTTTAGGAATGACAACACTTATTTATTATAAATAACTAACTTAACTTACTTCCTTAATCTCCTCAAATAAGTCAATTGGGTCTTATAATTAGGACCGGAGGAGTATTAATTAGCATAATTTAAAGGAAAAATCGGTGAAAAGACATTTGTTTAGAAATTCTATTGGTTAGGAGGACTTAAAATTTAAGTACCGGCATTTTCTGTATATAAAAACATGTTAAGTCTCAATAAAATTTCCAAACATTTCAGTGATTTTTCTAATTTGAATTTGGTACAATTGAGGGAGTATTGATTAGGGCTGAGCAATGGGCGGGGTGGGCTAACCCGAAGGTTAACCCATAGCCCGCCCATTTATTTATAAATGGGCATGGGCTAACCCATAACCCGGTAGTAGCCCATTTAGCCCATATTAAATGGGCTACGGGGCAGCCCGTTTGGGCTGATCGGGTTATGGGGTAACCCATTTATTTTTTAAATTTTTTTTAATATAATTATTTTATATATGTAACCTTATGAAGCTGTCAATAAATTTTGCATGCCAAATAGCAAATCAAATATGAAATAACATCAACTATATTCAATCACACAACCTTACTTAGATTCACAAACAATTAAAGTCTGATAAAATCATAAAAATAGTCACCAATCATAAAGTCTTATAAACTTTGAAAGTTCCAACTTTTACCTAAAGGATAAAATAAAAACTTAGACAAGTATGAAGGTTTGATAAAATATGAATGAGAAACAATATCATCAATTAAATGAAGAATAAAAATATTTTTAAAAACTTAAAAACTTAAATGGGCGGGTATGGGCAGCCCAATACCTTACCCATAGCCCAACCCGTTTAATGGGCTACCCTGCCCATTTAAGCCCGCCCATTTATAATCTCTTATTTGGGCTAATTGGGCGGGCTTAAATGGGCAAAAATTTCATGGGTTATGGGCGGACTAGCGGGTAATGGGTTTGTTGCTCACCCCTAGTATTGATAATTGATATATCACATAATTGAGGATGAAATGTGAGCAACCTGTAGGAATAAGAGATGATGAATATAAAAGGGTGAGCCGGACCCAACCGTGGGCGACAATAAACGGCTCGCGTTCCCTCAGCCTATGCTAGCACTATGCCTATGCTTTCCAATCTTACGGGGAAAATGAAAATGAGGTCTCATGAAACACAAAATACTGCATAAAGGTCTCAGAAATTTGATAATGAATGTGAAGTTCTAAAGAGACTTAAGTGTAATTTAGTAAAGTGTAAAAAGACTTCTTTGCCTCTAGCGAGATGAACCAAAGTAAAGTTGTCTCGTTTTTCAGTTTGAAAATCACCACTCTATACACAGAAAGTAAAAAGGAGAAAACCCAAACTTCATTTTGTCTCTTTTCCATTCTCATATGAAAATCTCATCCGCTCTACCTATGCCAACCATTTGCAAAAATCACTTTCTTTTTTGGTTTGGTGTGTGCTTGGTCAATTAAGTTGGGATTTTATTATAAGTGGGTAGGGTGATGATAGATGTTCTATTTTTGGATATATTGTGAGGGGTTGAAAGTGGGTTTGCTTTGTCTTAGTATGGTTTGTTGGGAATTGATGAGAAAGATGAACGTTGATGTGGCTAAAAACCCTTACTGCGAAACAAGAAAATATGTTGTCAATATAAACTATTATAATTGTCAATATAACTCATTGACTTGTCAATAATACTTGTATTGTGCAAATTTATATTAAATGATATTGTTAAATTTTTAACACAAAGTTCATAACTTTCTATGCCCTTAACTCATTGGTAGAGGTTACAAAAAGAGGAAGAAGAGGCAATGAAGAAGGGTGGGCAGTCATATGAGGCAAAAGAAGAAAAATAGTAAAAAGAAAGGCCACTTTGAATTTGGACAAATGATGGCAAAAGAATTTTTTGTAAATAAAATTAACTTTTTTTTTGGTAAATGTCGCAATAGATACATAATTAGTTTGATATTATATATGTGTAATTGTATTTTTTTAATGACTTGTGAAATCAGTGTAATTATATGTATATGAAGTTGTAAATAAAAGTTGGTTATATATTACATTCTGATGTATAATCAGTTGTTATTATCTACACCTTTTATTATCAATACACCCTTTATCACTTGTCACTCGTTGCACTATCAGTTGTCAATTTATGTGCTAATATAAAGTTGAAAAAAAAATGTGATTTTACGTTACATAATGCTATACAAAATCATACAATATCACCAATTCCTCAAAACTAATATATTTTTTTTAATAATGATATAAAATCGGTATTAAAAGTCAATCATCACTGATGAATATGTGGATAGTAACAACTGCCGTTGGAAATTTTCAGAATTGAAGGTGTTGTTTATTTAAAATGTTCAATTAAGTTATATGTAACCTAAAATACAAATATTAACTAACAGGTATGTTAATTGGATGGTAATTTTTTAAAACTTGACAAGTCACAATGTCACTATTGACAAGTCACAGTGCGTTTATTGACAAGTTTCATAATTCTCAATTTGTTGTGGCGCTTAGAGCGATCTGCCACGGCCTTTGAAGCAGAAAGGACGGAGAGGCATTCTGTAATAAGCGCCACAGTGCCTAGATAAAATTCAATGCCCTTGATTCCATGATTGACAACTTACAGTGCTACTGTCGACAAGTCACAGCGCAACTATTAACAAGTTACAGTGCAACCGTTAACAAGTCACAGTGCCACTGTTGACAAGTGATAGTGTAACTATTGATGATTCATTTTATAATTTTATATCAGTAATAATATACTTTTAATAATGATTATATATGACATTATAAGCCAAATGTAATATGTCAAAATAATTGAAAATATCATATGATATGTCAATATTATGTAACTTGAATTCACATTAGATAACTTACATCAGCAAATTAATTGACAAGTCATAGTGCAATTAGTCAGAAGTCAGAACAGGTCTATTAACAATGTAGGATGAAATAATTACAACTTAAATGATAGTAGAATCTAACACATCAGTTTATAACCAACTTTTATTTATACCTTTATATATATAGAATTGCACATATTGCACAACCAAACTGAAAAAAAACATACAGGTTGCATGTAATTACTAAACTAATTGTTGGTGTGTATCCATTTACAAAAAAATCTTTTCACACTCATTTGCATAATATTCTTTTCACATTCATATACAAAAAATATCTAACTTCAATATGTTCTCAACTAGTATTTGGGTTCTTGCATGGTTTAGCGGTGTAATGCTTCTTAGACGTACTGGCTATCATTAATGTAAACCTGCATCAACAATTGTCCAGCTGTTACTGACAGGGAAAGCAGCACTATTGACAACTATCACGGCATCTATTAACAACTTTCATAGCTTATATTGACAACACAATATCCCACTTCGCAGAAAAGGTTTCTACCCACACCAACGTTCATTGTCTTCAGCCTTTCACACTAAACTATGCTAAAACAGAACAAAATCACCCACAATATAACCAAAAACAGAGCACCCATGATCATCCTACCCACCCACAATAAAAACCCAACTTAAATTACCAACCCACACCAAACAAAAACACAACCTTTCTATTGATTAACTTGTTCATATTAGACCAAAAACAAAAGCTTCACAATACCTAAAAGCAAAAATGATTTTCTAAATTTCTATATCCAAACACAATCTGTCAAACAAAATGCAAAGAAGAGGAGGGGAAGAAAGTTTCAAAACCTAGAAATCTTGAGAGATTAAAATGGAAGCTCTTTGGAGTTTACTGATAGTGATGAAGAAGATGCTTCATTATCAATGGCTGCTTCCTTCTTTCTCCAGCTCTTCTCTCCCATGCATAGCAACTTTAGATCATGTAGGAAATATGAGTGTCCTTTCCTTCTACACTGCTGGCTAATAATGTCTTTTTGACATTCTTATTATTGCAGTTAAGTTCCTATAGAAACTGTGATTTATTATCATATTTCTTTTGACTGTTTTGTAGTATATTTCCTTGTATGGGACCTTAGAATCATTTTCCCAATCTTATATACCACTATTTTCAGTACTTCTTAATATAAGAGTTAATTGACTAATTTAGGTAGATTTAAAAAATTACTCAAATTAGTTGTTTGTAATAAATATATGTTGTCTTTATAATAAATATGTGTTGTCTTTA